GACAAGTTAATATCTGGAAAGTGCTTAAAACAATGCCCAACTCAGTAAGTGCTTTAAGTGTTCATTAAATAAGTGGCTGAATCAAGGACTTTATATTAAATTTCACAAGTTTGCTTTGGGCCAGTTGTTCTGCTTTATTTTTCTTGTCTATTTAATAGAGTGAGTTTTTTGTTAGAAGGGATATCAAGAGGATGGAATATAAGAATTTTTTTTAAAAAAAGAGCTGCTCTATGTGTGGCTGGAAATATGGCTCAGCCTCACATGTGGCTGGAGTAAATTTAGCCCTATTTTGTACAACATGTCTCTCCAGGAAGAGTCTGTGGAGGCATGAAATACTAAGAAAACAATAGAAATATGTTCTTTCTGCCTATTTTGGTCATGAATTGTCCCTGAAAAATCTATTTAAAAACCAATTAGAAGTTTTAATTACCTTTACAACTTCTGTACTACCTATATTTGAGTATTGTCTGCAATAGAGAATTTGCTACTTTGGGGGAAAATCCATCCTAGCTCTAGACAGTTATTCTAGAAAAATTTCTCTTGATTTAAGCCTATAACATACTCTGATAACTACTTTAGTTTTACTCCTCAAGCTTTAGAAGTCACACTTACCATTTCTTGAAGTATGTAAATATATCTGTCATAATCCCTTGAGTATTTTATTTTCCAGGAGATGGGATCAGCCCCATTTCTTTCATAATTTACATTATAATTTCAAGTACCCTTACTATCTAAGGTTTTGATTTCTTTCTAATGTGTAAGCCACACTTGTATGGTAGAGGAAAAGATAAAGAGGAATATATCTTAAATATGAGTTCACATTTATTGGTGTATTTGTGCTTTGGATAGTGCCCATAACAAGAAATACCTAAGACTTTGTTGCTAGAATTTGTTATACTTTTCTGGGACAGAAATTTATAACAGATGTCATAAATTAAAGAGTTTACGGAGTTCATTCTGGGTTAGGGAGTGAGCTTTAACCCAAAGGATAAATGTCACTATAATACATACCAAAGATAAGATATTGCGAAGATGAACGAAAGACTGGATTTAGATAGCAACAAAGTAAAGGATGAACTGGAGCTTCCAGAAGCTGGAATATGTTCTCCCCGAGGCTTCTTTAAGAAACCATGATATCTTAATGGTATTGGTAGCATCTAAAACTGTGAGAGAATCATATCTTTCCACTTAAGTCATGGAATTGTGATAATTTCTAACAGCAGTTCTAGTAAACTAAAATAGGTTTGATATCTAAAACATAGGGGATAAGAATAATTATAAGATATTATTGAAGAACAGATATTATTCAATAAAATTACTTGATTTTCTATGATAACTATATTTTTAAATGTAAAAAGTTTTATTTTTAATTGACACTATATTTATTTATTTATATTTATGGAGTGCTGTGAGATGTTCCTATTTGTATATATTACCTAACCATTGGTAATTGGTAATTGGTAACCATTGGTAATTACCTAACCATAAGGTAATTGCTATATCAGTCACATCATAAAATTATCATTTCCTTGAAAGGAGAATTCAAAAATTCTCTTTTTTTGGCTATGGGAGGGATGGGTAAGAATGTTGAAAGGGATGACATTTTACAGATTGATTTTATTCATAAACTGCTTTGTAAAATGGCAAATCCTTTGAACAACTACTTAAAGATAATATCTATTTAAAAATAGTTAATACAATACTATTAACCATAGTCACATTGGTGTGTAATAGAACACCAGGACATATTCTTTCTACCTGGTTATAACTTTATTCATTGGCCCAATCACTCTCTAATTCTAATCCCTCAATTTCTGGTAATCACTTTTGACTCTCTACTTGTATGAGATCTGCTAGTTTAGTTCCATCATGCAGTAAGATCATTCAATATTTGTCTGTTTTACTTGACCATTTCATATACTGTGATTATTATTGTTGATATTCATCTACTTTGTCACAACTGCAAGATAGATTTCATTCTCATATATGGCCAAACTGTATTTTATTGTGTATGCATACCACAATTCGCTTATCCACTCATCAGTCCAGAGGCACTTAGGTTGCTTTTGCACTTTGCTATTGTGAATAAGGCTGCATTAAACTTGTAACTATGGACACCTTCACACACAGATTTCACTCTCAGTAGTGAGATTGATGGGTCAGACAGCAATAATGCTTGCAATTTTTTGAGGGAAATACATGCTGATTTCCATATGATTACAATTTATGTTCCACCATTTGTATTGCATGTGATAATTCCTTTCTCTGTCTCCATATCGTTAGTTAATTTATTTTTACTTTTAAGGTTACGGTCAATTAGTATAAGTTGTTGTTTCATTTTAATACTCATTTTCCTGGTGACTAGTAACACTAAGTCTTTTATTCTTCATATTTTTTGCCATTTACATGTTTGATATTGAGAAAGATGCATTGTCTTTCATTTTAATCAGATATTTTCCCTTTTTTGTTTTCTTTGAATTGAGTGCTTGAGTTTTTTGTTTTTTGTTTTTTTTACTATTGTGGCTACTCAACTTTTTAAATATATAGTTTGCAAATAATCTTTCCATTCTTCACTTTGTCTCCTTTCTCATTTTTCTCTGTTGATCATTTTCTTTTCTATAAGGAACCTTTTGGGTTTAACTTAATTTTATTTTTATCACTGTAGTTTTTGGGACTATATAATATCATTAGTTACTAAACTATATAAGTATATAGATTTTTAGTTTTCAAGGTATCTGAAATTTTTTGCCCAGACCAGAATATGATTTATATTAGCAATTGTATCATTTTGCATCTTACATTTATCGATGCTGAATAATATATATATATATATATATATATATATATATATATATATATATATATATATATATACCTACATATGTGTATATATAAAAAGACAAAGAGAGAGGAGAGGGAAAGGAATCAAAATTTCATTATTCTGTATGTCAATATACTATTTTTCTAGCACTGTTTACTAGATAGACTTTTAAAAAAAAAATAAGTTGTTTCTTTTTTTTTTTAACTATTTATGTGGTACTGTGGAATTGAACCCTGGGTCTTATACATGCTATGCAAGTGCACTATCACTAAGCCATATTCCCAGACCCTAAATAGACTATTTTCACTTCATTCTATATTCTTTGTGTTTTACTGAAAATCTGTTTTGTGGATTTCTTTTTTTTTTCCTTTATTTTTCTTTTCAGTTTTTTCTATTCTGTTCCATTGGTTTATGTTTATTTTTATGCTACTATTATGTCTTGGTTATTATAGTTTTATAGTATGTCTTGAGGTTGAGTAATGTTTCCAGATTTTTGTCATGATAGTTTTTTGTTCAAAATTATTTGAGCAATTTGAGGTTGTTCGTTGTTTCACACAAATTTTGAAATTTTTTCCTCCCCATTTCTTTTTTTTTTTCCTCGCCATTTCTATGAAGAAAACCACTAGTGTTTTTGATACAAATGGCACTGAGTCTGTATTAATTGATTCTGTTTGTGTCATATTGATATAGAACTAAATTAAAGGTTCCAATTAATTAACATGAAATATTATTCCAATCATTTTTGTATTCACATTTTTCACCATTTTTGGGAGCTTTTGGTATATAGACCTTTCCAGCTTCTAGGTTAAATTTGTTCCTAAGCATTTTATATTATTCTTGTGGCAAAAAGCAAGAAGTACATATTATTTATCCCACCCTAGGCCCACTGAATCAGAGTATCTGTATGAGGGGCCAACAGAATTTTTGTTGCATTCTCTCCTTTAAGTGATTCTGATGCCTGGTACAATTTGAAATTACTGGTTTCCATTGCCTTTCAAGATTTTCAACCCTGAGATTTTTATTCTAAGAGATGGAGGAAATGGACAAAGCACTTACTCAACAACAAATCTATAACTGATTAAGAATGTGAACAGAGAATCATGTCAGCACTGCCAGCAAATTCCATAGAGGCCATATTGTTTCTCTAAGCCTGGATAATCATGCTCAATCATGTATATTCACTTTAAGAGGATTCTTCAAGTGGAAAATGTTCCTGAAAGGTTTAAACATGGTGAATGATCCCAAACTCATCATTATGTCTTGGGAGTAAGGGCCACTAAGAAGATTGTATAAAAGAAAATTAAAAAGAGACAAGAGGTGGCATTATTGACATAGGTAAAATTGAAATAACTACATCCAGGGCAAAGTAACTAGTTTGGAGAAAAGAGGAACATTTTGCTATTATACAATTTATGATATTAATATTAGAGAAATCAACTTTAAAAAATAGCTTTAACTATATATAAGCCCCCTCTATATAGTATTTTTAAAATACAAATGTATTTTTAAAAACTTAATGCAGACAAGCCATTAAAAAAAAGAATAAAAAATGAAGAAAGTATTTGGGAACTTGGATCTCAGAAGAAAAGCAATTTTAGTCATTTAACTCTCTTCAAATTCTGGAAAGCATCAGCATCTTTATCCTGAAGGATAACAGGTATTTGCCTTGCATAGAATTGTAACTAGAGTGCTTTTGATATGGAGATTATTGTGACTGGTAACCTGGTACCTATTTATTGAATGTATCTCACTGGGGCAAGATGTTTTTTAAAATTCTATGTGAAAGGAATGAAGACATTATAATCTCAATCTCATTTTTAAAATTTAAGCAATTTGTTGACTGACATGAAGAAATGCAATTATCTGGATTGAAGAAAAGATTTACTTAGCCACAAATAAGGATCTATTCTGGGAAATATCTCATCTTTTACTCTATCAAATCAGATATCCAACATTCTGTCTTCAGCCTCATGGTTTTCTCTCCTGTGGTTGCATTTGAGCTTTCTTTAGCAAAGCAGCCCATATTAAGTCTTTTTTTTTTTTTTGGTCGGTCCGTGGGGCTTGAACTCTGGGCTTGGGCACTGTCCCTCAGCTCTTCAGCTCAGGGTGAGCGCTCTACCGCTTGAGCCACAGAGCCACCTCCGGTTTTCTAGTGGTTTATTGGATATAAGAGTCTCACAGACTTTCCTTGCCCGGGCTGGCTTTGAACCATGTTTCTCAGATCTCAGCCTCCTGAGTAGCTAGGATAATAGGCGAGAGCCACCGGCGCCGGCTCCTATATTTAATCTCTTTTACTTAAGGAGAGAAAACATTTCTATTTTCCTTATACATCTTGGACTTATTTCCACCTGAAGAGGTTAAGAATCCATTGGAAAAGCAGTCACCAGTCAGCAGGGTACATGATTGGCTTACATGAGTAAGGCTGGTATGTGGAGTGGAGGGATAAGATCTACCTCACTCCCAACATATCAAAAACATCGTCATGTACTCAATGTGCACTAGGAAAAAGCCAATTAAAACCCTCAGAGCATTTGGAATTTTTTAATTAGTATTCTACTGATAATACCTGTTTAGTTAAACTAATTTCTTTTCTTTTTTTCTTTTCCTTCCTTCCTTCCTTCCTTCTTATCTTTCTTTTTCCTTTCTTTCTTCCTTCCTTCTTTTCTTTCTTCCTTCCTTCCTTCCTTCCTTCCTTCCTTCCTTCCTTCCTTCCTTCCTTCCTTCCTTCCTTCCTTCCTTCCTTCCTTCCTTCTTTCCTTCCTTCCTTCCTCTCTCTCTCTCTCTCTCTCTCTCTCTCTCTCTTTCTTTCTTTCATTTTTTTTTTTGTATTACTGGGATTGGAACTCAGTGTCTCATCCTAGTTGCTAGGTTGGCACTGTCCCATAGTGTCAGGCCTCAAGTTCTGTTTTCAGCTGGCTTGTTTATTTGTAGAATAAGGTCTTATCTCCACTGGACCACAATTTTCCTGTATATCCTTTACCTTGTTTCTGAATTCACAGCTACAGACCACCATATCCAGCTTCCTTTCACTGAGTAGCAATTGAGGACTTCCCTGCCCAGGCTATCTTTATACTGTGATTGTTGTTGTTGTAGTTGTTGTTATCAGCTTCACACATAGATTTGGTTTTTTTTCTTAACTGTGTTTTTTTGTCTTTTCTTTTTTGGTACTGGGGATCGAACCCAGGACGTTGCACTTGCTAGGCAAGCGCTTTGCCACTGAGCTACATCCCAGCCCCACACATAGATTTGGTAGACATGTATTATCACTGAATCCAGCTGTGGATTGAGAAGGAGATTTAACAAATTTTTCAGCCTGAGCCATCATCTCCTCCAGACCTATGTAGCTAGGCTGACTTTGAACTCATTATATACCTCAGGCTAGCTGTCAGCTCATGATCCTCCCAAGTACTGAGATTATTGTTTGCACTTCCATGTTCATCTATTTAATTTCTATAAATACCCATTGACTTTTCCCCATGACCCAGTGATATTTCTATTCATAAAATGCTATTTATCTTTTATTATTCACTTTCAAATGAAAATTCAGTGGGAAATCTGTGAAGTATGCAGATAAAAAAAAAGATTGGAAAAACCTTTAAAATTTATTAATACATTGACTTCATTTTCAACCTAGACATCACAGTGTATGTGCTTATGTAATTGGTCCCAAGAGGATATAGTTTCATTACAATTATAATAATAAACAGAATAATAGTCTCAGAAAATAAGGAGTTTGAAGAGTATGAGATCAACGGTTTCAGACACCATTTCTGTAGAGACATGAGGCAAAACACAACCTATCCAAATCTTCAATCAAACTGTTCATTTAAAATACGAAGCTATGAAAGTATAACTCCTATCTATTCCTTTGTTGTTGCTGGTGGTGGTGGTGGTCATAGTGCTTGAACTCCGGCCCAGACTCTGTCCTTGAGCACTTTTGCCCAAGGCTAGCACTTATACCTCTTGAGCTACAGCACCATTCCCTGTTTTCTGGTGGTTAATTGGAGATAAGATTTTCATGGACTTTCCTGCCTGAGCTGGTTCCGAACTGCAATCCTCAAATATCAACCTCCTGAGTAGCTAGAATTACCAGCACTTGGCATCCTTTCTTGTTTATAAAGATGTCTACATCTTGCATGCAAGTCTCATTTACCTTAAGGAACTGAAAGTTACATGTCTCCAGGCACAAAAGACCTAGCAAAAAGTATTTGAAATTTTCTGAATAACAGCGGAGGTATTAGATCAGCCCCAAGTAGATCAGGGCAAGGACACTAATTTTAAGCAATTTCCCGTGGATGTCTTTTTTTTTTTCTCTTGGAATATAGATACTCACTGAGAGAGGAAAAGTATTTACATACTTGCTGACGTCTCTAATTTGAAAATGAATCGATGGGGAGCCAGGCCTTCTGGTGCAGGTCCTGAGCTTTGGACTTCATCCGAAGAACAAACTCCCATCATTGGCCAGCTGCACATACTTCAGAAACCAGTCCAGGAACTGTCAGTACAAGAGAATGTTCCACAAGGACCAACCCTTGTCTGTACACTATTAGGCTGATTATCAAAATATGCTCTGGAATCACTTACAGTCTTTTCCCTGATAAACATGTTTCTTCATAGGATACATCTATGTTAGTGATTTAGGGCTCCTAGAGATAGGCACCTGGGGCAAATGGCCTGATGGCTGAATCCTTAATCATCGTCTGCAGCTAGCAGTTTTCACTGTGCCTGCCTTGGCTTCCTGCCTTGGCTCAGAAACATTATTACTAACATGAGCATGATTTATAAATGATCTCTCTTGAATAGGTGGGAAAATGTGGTATAATTGAAAGAATCCTGGACTGTGGGTCAAAGGGAGCTGATCGGTTCCCAAATCTACTACAAATTAGCTTTTCAGTAGTTAAACAGTTATTACAACTGCTGCTATACTTACTTGGTGTTCCTATCTGTAAAGCGAAGAATTTGGTTATGCACATAGGTCACCCACTGGGCTCTAGTTTATCTCTTCCCATTGATACATCCTCTGCATATTCATTATTGCCCACCCAACCCAAATTCATCATTTCTTATCAATTCAAAGAATGAAAAACCATGAATCTTCTAATTTCTAAAACAAATAGCATATTTAAGAACAAATATAGGCCAAGAGAATACATTTATGTATTAGTAGCAAGTGCATGTTTATGTATTTATGTCTATATATTCATATAGATAGACACACATCATACATATATACACATAGCACATATATAATTATTTTCTTTCATTTATGAATTTGATTTGTGGATATAATTCCAAATAACCACTATCTCTTCTACAAGGGACCAAAGAGACCATTCTAGGCAGTAAAGTATTTGTGACATAGATTTAATTCCTTTAGCATCAAAGTCAGATACTTTGGATGTTGTGTTTTGTGTAATAATACTAATAATACTAATAGAATAATGATAGCTTCTTGTCAGTCTCAGAAGGTAGTTCTATGTTTAATTTTTGATGAGCCTCCACACTGCTTTCTAGAATGGTTAAGTAAGTTTATGTTTCCACCCACAGTATACCAGGGTTCCTTTTTGACAGCATGAAAACCAGAAAGCAGATACTTAAAGGAAGTGGGGAGGAGCCAAGGGGAAAAGGCTAAATAAATGAAGAGAAAAAGAAGGGAAGAATGCAGCCAAGAAATCAATGTATATCCTGTAAAATTAAGAAGTGTGATGGAAGAGGTAGATAGAGAAGGCATAGATGGGAAATTTTGAAAGAGCTAACATTGATCAGGATGCATTGTGTTCATAAACTGCTTTGTTAAATGACACGCTTTAAAAGATAGTTAATATTGTAAAAAACAAAAAGGTTGTTCTGATGGCTGATTGGAAATATCTGACATGTGTAGATAGTTTGTAAATGTTAGTAGTAAGATAGTTCAAGAAGAATGAAGGGTCATCTTGTTCAACACTATCAAGAAAATATATTTGTGTGGTTCTAGAAGAACATAAACTGGACAAGGGTTAATAATTGGTAATTATTTATTTGTGAGCAAGACCCCCAAAATGTACCTTCTCAATTCCTAATTACTGAGATTAGAAATCACCTTGGGGATAATATTCTCTAAAAGTGCATGCTAGAGTGATTTTTTAATGAAAAGTGATAAAATAATTTTAAACAATCAAGATCTCCTGAGTATGATCTAAACCTTTGATAGTTTGACAGTCACTTTATGATGTTCAAGTTACTTCAGGGTCATTATAATGAACATTTTCACTGAGTTGCTTCTTTTAAACATGACATGTGCTCAATAAATGTTTGTTGGTAGAATGGTTACATGTGAATGGACATCAATAATCATTATATTATTCTAGAAAGATAAAGTGCTATGAAGGAGAATTTCAGATAGTTCATTGCCTAGAATACCACCATAAAAAGCTTTTTTTGATTCCAATGAATGTCTTTAGAGATGGAGAAGTGATTGTCTGACATCACAAAGCTAAATCATGGAATATGCAAAGCTGCAAAATAGGGTTGTCAGAAAAAATTTAGATAGTTCATTTTAATTTTAAACAAAAAAAATGAGTATTTTATTGTACAAGTAAATATCAAGTATTGAGTCTTTTAAAGATAGATATGTAGTAATATTGAGTAATTTTTACTACATTTCAACAATTGAATGGGGGCATATTTATCTTAAAGTATTGTTCAAGATAAATCTGAAATTAAAATTTAACTGAGCATCTTGCATTGTCTATTTGCTAAGCCTGGAAAGTCTATGGCAAAGCCACATCATTTCTGTTAACTTCTTCTTTGTGACCAACATAGTCTTCGATATTTTCTAACACATGGGGGCAGCTAATGTTCTGACATGCTGTGACTCCTTCTGCTCCCATGATAGCAAAACTCAAATTCAATTGTACTCTCCTCTGATCTTACTCTACCTCTTACAGCTCTTCCATTTGTGTAAAAATCTATGATCCTTCTCCTAAGTTTTAGCCCTGCAAGTTTGTTATTTAGACTCACTGTCATCTCAAAATCATCACATTTGTAATCGAGGCTCCCCATTCCTACCACTCTTATTCCTTACTGCTCTATGCTCCCTATAGTTAAAATGCTATAAACCATTTCCCAACCAGTAGACTTTCCAATCCACAAACCTACTCTCTTCCCACCCTTCTTGACCATGCCAAGTCTAAGAATTCTCTTAGTCCTGCTTTTTCCATTTTCCTCAAGTGTTTTCCCAGCCCATCCTTTATATTGCCAAATTCCTCTTCTAGAAGCAGCTCATGTCACTGCATT